CTTAGTGAAGAGGAAACCCCAGAATACACCCCAGCACTAGATATGAAAGTATGAAAGTTCATATCTCAAGAAGAGAGATGCAGGCAACGTATGCAGGCAATATGTTCTCCGGCAACATATGTGCGTCTCCTTTGTTCAAGTTTTTATAGGGTTTCTCCAAGCCACCCCACGTAGGGCTGTGGGGCTTTTACCTAGCTAAGAATCCATAGGTGGTTGCCAAGGGGGTAGGTTTGGGAGTAGTTGATGGTTTTCTTTGATATTCCTTTTCTGACCTTTGTTCTATGGAGCTTCTCTCAGAGGCCAAAACCAGCCTCCTCTGGGTCTGGACTGGTTTTCAGGTACTAGAAAAGGTCTTATCAGGCCTTAGTTCCTATGATCACAATGTGGGTTTTTGCAGCCTTGGAGCTATTGGGTTTTGTTGCTTTCTAGGAATTCATTACCATGCGAGGTCCTTCCCTATCTATCTGCCTGCATGCTTCAAATTAATTCATTATTTCAACTTGGTTCATTTCTCTCTCAGAAGGTCTCACATTGTGTTAGGGCAACATCTTTTTATCCCTAACTTTCATAGCTTTCCAGTTCCAAAAAATGTGATTATTCAGTTCATTTTCTTGCCCTCTTCTCCCCAGGTAAATCCTGTGGCAAAGTCATGGCCACCACCTTGAAGCCACAAGGCCACCCTCCCTCTGCCTTCTAGTTCGGCTGTGGCCCAGGGTACCCGGTAGTGGCCAAACCCCAGAAGCAAACATCCTGTGTTTGTTGTTGTATATTTTGGGGCCATACCTTGTGGTGCTCAGGGCTTACTCCAGCCTCTACACTGTGGAATCACTCCTGACAGTGCTTGGGCACGACTATGTGAAATGACAGCTATTGAACCTGGGTTAATACAACTGCCCTACCCACTGTACTGTCTCTCTGATCCCAAACATCCTCTTCTTACATGAAGTTCTAATCATAATATCTAATCATAAGATAAAAGGCCCCCATTCTATCTATACTGGTTTGTTTTTGTTTCAATGTCCTCTTTGCAAGATGCCTGGAACCTCTTAGTAGGCCTTCTATTTATCGGGGAGGTGGGGTGGTGGGATGGGGGCACTCTCTCCTATAGGCTATCTAAGGGGCCATAAGTTCTAGCTTAGTCCATGTTCCTTCAGTTTATAGCAGATTTTTCAGATACAAGAGTCAGAAACTCCACCTAAACTGACTTGGTAAATAAAGGAAATGTTGTGTTTTTTTGTCATTTGTGTGGGGGGCAACATTGGGCAATTCTCAGGGGTTATTCCTACCCACTGTGTTATCTCTCTGGCTTTCAGGAAATCCTCTGTTACTGAAAAATCCAAGGAAATGCTGGACCCAGGCATTTTAATTATGCTCTCTCTCATGCACATGCATATTAAGATAAGCACAAACACATGTGTATAATATTGCTAACACATTTGACATAGTAGAACTGAGAGACCATGTGAGTTTGAGGTGAGCTCTTACTTTTTCCCTAGCAATTTATTCCAGAATGAGGCAAAATTCATGTAAATAGCTGGAAACCATTTTCTGTGGTATCAAATGTCCCATCCCAGTGCAGAAGCTGCAAGCAGTGTCTATAGCAGGAGACACTTCCAAAAGTGCTGGCTCAGGTAGTCCTGATGTGCCTGACCCCACCCTCTGCACTGTTTCCTCTGGATGTGCTCCAGAGAGCAATAACCTCAATCTCTGGGGGATGCTACTCTAGTCCATTTTGTTCCACCCACCACTGAGATTAGACAGCTTTAGTCAACAGGTTCAACCCTGAATCCAGAACTCAGTGGAAGCACCAGGGTCTGAAAGAAAAGGGGGCAGGTTGCCCAGAGGGAAATCTCAGAAATGTTATTCAAGAATTTTTATTTAGTCAAAAATCACAGCTGTCTTGGACACTTCAGAACCCTTGCTTTGTGTCTCTGGGTAACATTGGATCTTCAGAGCTTTGACTTAAGAGGACCTTACTGGGGCCGGGGCGACAGTATCATGAGTAGGGCACTTGCCTTGCATGCGGCTGACCCCAGGTTCAATCTCTGGCATCCCATATGGTCCCTCAAGCACCTACAGGAGTAATTCCTGAGTGCAGAGCCAGGAATAACAGCTGAGCATTGCTGGGTAGGACCCAAAAAGTTAAAAAAAAAAAGAGAGATGACCTTACTTTGAGCAGAAACATGCGCATTTTAGAGCAGTGTTTCTTAACTGGGGATAATATAACCCTACTGTGGGCCCCAATGATATTCCAAAGGGACACAGGTGAAAATCACATCAGTGGGAGTCCACACAATGAGAATTTGAAAGCAGCTGAGAGAACAGGGGAGCAATAAAAGGAAAAAAGGTTAAACTTGGGCCACGGTCAAATAAAGGTTGATTCTAGTGCAGCTTGCAGGTATAGGGATGTAGACTTGTGCTCTTCATCCTTCCCCTTCTCTGTATTTGGACCATAGGCAACATTCTGTCATGGACTAAACCATAATTTATCTCAGGGAACTAAGCACTGACAAGCGTCTGCCTGGTGGTGGATCCTCCACACAGAACCTGGAGCCTATGATGATGAAGGCTCAGAAAGCTGTGCACTTCAGATACAGAGCAAAATCTTGGGTGGATCTTTACCCTCTAAAGGCCAACTTGAAAATCAGGGTGGACCATCAGTAGTTTAGGATTGTTCCTCCTCTGTGAAGCTCAATAGGCCACTACAGACAATCTCCAGAGAGTTGAAACATTTCCCCCAAGTGTTCATTTCCTATACCTAACTTCCTGTAAGAGACATTGGACAGTCATTCATTTTCTGGAGTTTCTTATTATTGGAGTTGTGAAAAGTGCTACCACTGCACAGAAACCAAATAATCTTATTTTGAAATAGGATCTGCTTTATTCACAATAATACTACTGATGGCTTAAGCAGAGATAGTTCTCATATAAAACTCTTGAAAATATTGTCTCATTTAATCCTCTCATAAACCCATGAGTTTTTTTGAAGTATAACAAACCCATGGTTTTATGATATTATTGTTAATGAAATTTAACTTATGAGACAACTGAAGTCCCTTCAAGATTAAATTTCTAATGACTGGCAGAAGCATAATGAAAATCTAGGTACCTTCCATGCCAAAGCCCATTTGGTAGACATTCTACCTTCTGTTTCTTTCCAAGTGATTGTCCAAGTTTGGTAAATGATTGTCCATTCAAAATGGAACTGATTGGCAAGTTTTAGATCAAAGTCTTCTAGTCTTTGAAGTAATACTGGAATAAATCATGCATTAACAAAATGAAAGCAGGTTCTTTCCTTCATAGAAAATAACATGCACATTAAAGCAAACCTCTGGAATCAAACAAAATAGGTTGAGATCTCAGCTCTGTCATTTGGTCATCCTGGGAGAAGTCACTTCTCTCAAGACTTGTTACCTTTGGGAAGATAATAGAAATTACTTCCTCTGGGTAAAAGAAATGAGATATAGCAACTGAGGGTTCAAACTATACAATAGTAATGAATTTACTTTCTATTTAACTTGACTTTTTAAGATCAGAACTTTTTATTTTTAACAAATATGTCTTTCTGTTTCCTGAAAGACTAAAATTAAAATGCAGGGAGAATACCATCAAATATGTGTATAATTATAAAAGTTCACTCTGCAGACAAAGTTTGTTCTGTTGTTCCAGTTGAAGTGTCTCCTTGGCAGGTGATGTAGAGAACCTCACAGTGTATAAAAGCATACAAAAGTAGCCAAGGAGAGCCAATGTATTTTGAAAGATTTGTTTAATACTGAAGCAGATGGTATAGGATTCCATAAATGCAAGTTATAAGGCATTTCATTGATATTAGCTGGGATTAATTTCATTAAAATTAAAGGTTAGAACTTCAATAAGCATTCTAGATTCCTGGAACATTCTAGAAGCAGATGACACTATAATTTGAAAGGTCATTCTTCAGGCATCAACTAGGCTAAACCTCTCATTTGACAGTCAGAGAATCTGAAGTACAAAGACAGATTTACAGTTATCCCATTTGGGGCAGGTCTGCTAATCTATGCCTTAGGTCCTGACAACTGGAATAGGCATCTGCCACATCATTTTGATGGGAGGGAGTCTGGTGAAATTCTCTCTCCTTTTAGATGAGAAAAAGTGGCACTGACAGCTTTTCCTCTGGGTCTACCATGTTAGAGAACTGTTCAGTCCACTCTAATGAACAGTGTCCTGACCTTCAGGCCCTTGTTTCTCTGCCCAGCACCCTGCAGTCCTTTGGCTCTCAAGGGCAAATGAGTGATTGTTTTCTGTTCTTGCTTTTTCTTCCCACAAACTGGATCAAATGTTTGGGCTTTTTTGATGTTTGTTTGTTTTGTTTTGGGGCCACCTCAGTGGTACTCAGGACTTACTCGTGACTCTGCACTCAGGAATCACTCCTGGTGGGATCAGGGATAATTCTTTTTTTTTAAAAAATTTTTATTAGTGAAACATCAGGGGTAATTCTTAGTGGACTGTGGGATGCAGGGAGCTGAACTCAAGTCTGTTGCATATACAGCAAGTGCTTACCTGCTATACTATCTCTCAGGTCTCAGATCAAATATTTTCAAATCAAGACAGGATTTCTTCTCCTGAGCATTTTCAGGAGGTTTTCTTCTCAAATAATTATTGAGCTGGGTAGGGAATGTAGAACCTTGGCTTATTCACTCCAGGAGGTTTATTCAGGTCCCTTGGAAAATATGTCTGGGGTAAAGTAAAAAAAGTAAGTAAAGGCCCTCCCGTTGATCGTCGATTTGCTTGAGCGGGCCCAGTAACGTCTTCATTGGAGACTTTGTTGTTACTGTGTCTGGCATATCAAATACTCTCGGTAGCTTGCCGGGCTCTCCGAGAGGGGCGGAGGAATCGAACTCGGGTCGGCCATGTTGGCCGCTTGTAAGGCGAAAGCCCTACCCGCTGTGCTATAGCACAGGAGACGTTACTGGACCCGCTCGATGTCTAGGGGTAACATTGCATATATATTTTCTTCCCAGAGGCGGAAATGTGGAGAAATCAAGGCAGCCAATGACTGGGACAAGATTCAGGAGCAGCTTTTTGGGGAACTGGGCTTGTGGGGCCAGAAGACAGAAGCCACCCTCTGCTCCCAGTGGGAACTGGATTGGCGAGAAGGACCTGCTCGCATGAGAAAGCGCATTAGACGCTTGTTTCCATCTGATGCTCTGGGTGGAGGAAGGCTCAAGGTAAGCACGAGTTGCAGCACCACACTGCTGCTTCTCCTTGGAAGATGTGGCACAGCGTTGTTTTAGTTTGCCGATCCTGGGCCATGCTTGCTAGAACACTGCCAGGTGTTCTTTTGGAATGCTGTAGCATGGGCATATAGGAGAGAGATAGTACACAATTGAATGGTGTGGTGGGGGGGGCTCTATATTGTTATTATTTGTGAGGTGTGAAGGGAGGATTTGTCCACACCGTGTGGTGCTTAGGGGATCCTCCTGGCTCTGTGCGCTGAATTCACTCCCAAGGGTGCTTGGGGAAGCATGTCCTACTGAGGATTAAATTGCGGTTGGCTGCATGCATACAAGGCACATCCCTTAACCCCTGTATTATCTCTCTGACCCTGCAAATTCTTCTTGATGCTGTTTAAGAGAAGACAAGAATCATTAAACATTTCAGATATAGAGAAGGGATGCAACAACTATACCCTGAATGAACTAATTAAAGAGAGAGTGGAAACTGTGTGAAACTGACCCACTACTATGTGAATGTCTAAATTGTCCAGTGGAATAATCTGGACAGCAGTCTTTGGGAAGAGTCAGGTATCTGCATGCTTAAGGGTTTTTGTCATTGAATACTCACAGCGTCATTGCTATCGGCATTACTGAACAGGCAAATCCTTTAACATTTTTAAATTATTGTGCAAAAATCATATACTTTTTTGTATTATTGTACAAGCAAATTTTTAAACATTCCTTTAGCATGGAAGTATCTGGAACTCAGCTATTTCTGCAAGCTGTAGTCAGTGACCCACTTAGTTCAAATAACATTAAAGCTATGTGGATTCCCAAGCAACAAAATCTGGGCAGTCCCTGGGAATTTGCTCTAATGAAGTTTAAACTCAGTGTCATCAAACTCACATTTTTGCCTTTTATAGAACAGGAAAACAGTTGGATTCATTTGGTGATGTATATAAAGGAAGACCTGTAAATTTATTTAGAATTCCCGATTAAAGATATTTTTAAATGGTAGCCGTCCAAACACCAAAACACTAGATATTTCCTTCCCTATCCACTTGGGATCACCTTGTTGAGTTTATTCTCTAATTGGTCAAATCAGAATATGTTATCCATAGTAGATCTTTTAGAAAACTATTGGATTTATTTGGTGGACATTTTTTAATGTATTATTAGTAAATATTGGGTGGTATAAAGTAAACTTTCCTCAATATTCTTATTAGGAAGTGGAGGTAATAGGATCAGCATGCCCTCTGTGCTGGGACAAGCCAAAGATTGGCAGAGAAACCTGGCTCTGGCCTGTCTCAGACCACACTCCTGCTCTCTGCTCTGGGCTGGTCTGTACCACAGACACACAGGATGCTGTCTAATCCCATTTTGGCATCTTCTTTGGTAATTACTGTAAGTCCTACTTAATGGAAGATTGTGGGTTTTTTCCCCTTTGACTCAGGAACATTAATACATGCATTTTATTGTGGTCCTTTAGGATTTAGCATTTTTCTCCCCTTGCTTCTGAGTCTGAGTATATGAGCAATTTTAAGGGATCACATGGGTGTATGTATGTGGGTTTTCATGAATCTTGGAATGGGAGTACAGAGCATATAGGTAATATTCAGAATTTAATTAATTTTTTCTGTTTTATTTCAGAAGAACCAAGAAAGAAATAGGAATTTTTCTCAAACAGATGTGGAAAATCAAGGTACCCAGCTGATCAATTTTATCTATTTTATTTAATAATTGAAATCAATTATAGGTTTCATTTAGTATCTTCTTAAAAGTATGAAATTAATATTTCAGAAAAATAAATACTAGGTTAGGCAGAGCTCAGATTCTTTTCACTGCTAGACTTGTCAGAAGGAAGGGGACTGTACTCCATTTCTAGACAGTCCATTGGGGAAGAATTTTATATTAAATGGAAATAGTGAAATATTTTTTTTTACCTAGGAAACTATCCTGTCAACTTGTCTTATCAGGGGAACCTTAATAGTATCTTCCAAACAATACAAAAACATCATCAGTCAGTGACTGAAAATGTATCAGGTGAAAATAAGATATTCTAGAACAAAATTGGATATAATAAATATTTAAGACTTTTTATACTAAACATTAATAGTGCAACAGATATAATAATCCAGTTATCATTTCCCAAATTAAAAAAGAAACCAGTACATTGAATCATCCTTAATGATTTATACTTTCTCTTTGTATTCTTATTTTTTATTCTCATTAAGGAATTTTGTTGAGTTGATTTGCTGAAAATCCAGGTGCCATGTTAGCATGAAACCATCTAGACAGTCTCTCTCTCTCTCTCTCTCTCTCTCTCTCTCTTTCTCTCTCTCTCTCTCTCCATACACACACACAAATTCAAAGTTTGTATATTTCTACCAAAGTCTCAGGACTCAGATTTTTTATAAAACACACCTCTTTATTGAGTTTTACTCTCTTAAATTGCAGCCTGAGCTACGGGCAGATAACGGCTCCATAGAACAAACAAAACCTGCCTCATTTCGTACCTTAGTACTGGATATGCCAAAGAACTCACTAACTACTCTACAGGAATTAAGTTCTGAGTGAGAAGCTCCTGGGCTCTGATACTCAGGTTGACTTGGGGAGTCCCACAAAGCACAGTTTGCTTCTCTTCTACACTGAGGCCTACACCTACTAGGTGTGTGATTATCTGGAACCCAAATGTTTATGTCTCAGGGTGCATCCTTCGGATATAAGTCTGGATACACAGAATTGCAGCACAGGGAATTCATGGTAGTGTAGAAACAGAAACCATCTATAGCTCTACAGCTAGGAGGCAGGTGGGTGATGTAGAAGAGCCATAGAATAGAATATGACACAGCTCTTTTAGTTGTTTTCAAAGTTTTAATGAAATGAGAACTTGCTCTTGATGGAATCTTCAGTTGAAAGAAAGTAGAAAAAAACTTAATGTACTATATAGTTCCTCTCATGTCCAAAAATGATGTTTACATGTGTGTGCATCTGCATCAACCTGCACAAAAAAAAGATATGTTAGGAGTAAATACAGCAAATGGTGACAGTAGGTATGTTAGAAATGAAAAGATCAGACTCTGGACTCAAAGAGACTGTGCTCACATTCTGCTTCCAGTTGCAGACTTAAAGCAACGGAACTTAAAGCAAAGAAACTCATCTTTTTCCATGGTCTTATTCTTTTTTTAACTTTTTAAAAAATTTATTAAATAGTTCACAATATTTGATTATATTTAATATTCAAACACCAATCCCACCACCATTACACCTTCCCACCATCATATTTCGGGTGTTTCCATCCCAAACCCCAATCCCTGCCCCAAAGAAGAACTTAAATAATATAATCTTTCTCTCTAAGGTTGGTTGCCTCCTATTTTGAATCCCATCAAATGTGATGCAGTACTCTTGGAGTATGGGTAGGGTGTGTCCTATGAAGTATTGCACAGCTGCAAATGTGGTCCATGGCCCTATTCTTAACATGAGCATGAGATGAAATAGATCATCTAGATAGGACTAGATATTAAAAAAAAAAAACCAAAAACCTGCAGTTACTTTTGTCATCAAAAGTATCTTACACACTGAAAATACAGTGAATCAGGTATGGAATTTGCCCTGCACATGGCCAACTGATCAGGTAAAATTCCTAGCACCCCATATGGCTTTCTAACTGCATCAGTAGTGATCGATCCCTGAAAACAGAGTCAGGAATAAATCCTCCTGAACACCACTGGGTGGGGCCCAAAGACACACACAAAATCTTAGCTCACAAAGAGAGAGTTATTACTAAGTGGGATCTCTATTATTAACACTATCTCTGGCACAAGGGTGATATTTCTTCTTTTATTTTTCTTCAGAATACCATGCATTTTTCAAGTTTTTGCTCACGAGGAAGATGGCACTTCTATAATTAGGAAAAAGTCACTGTTTTAAGAGAGTTCAGAAAGTCCACACCCCCACTTCCACCCCCCTTTCTTGGCAGATGCCTTATTGGTTAGTGAGAATAAAATCTGAAACGTGGCCCTGTGGTCTCCTTCAACGTGGCTGCAGCATAGCTCACCTTCCAAAGTGACTCCCTTCAGGGAATGTTATGGTAGTATAAGTTTAGGGAACAGCTAAGTCAGAAACAGCAGTGCCCCCACAGATCCACACACTCACATATCCCCTGAAACCTCTCAGTACCTCTCAGTACCTCCTGGTGCCAGGTAGCTCATGCCAAACCCTGTGTCTCTTCCTGCTGCTGCAGATGAGCTGAGCACAGAGAGAGTTGAAGGCGAGATTGATGAGGTGGCCGTGGACTGCACCCAGTTGACCTTCTTCCCTGCCTTACATGAAAGTCTGCATTCCGAAGACTTCTTGGAACTGTGTCGGGAAAGACAAGTTATCTTACAAGAGTTTCTTGATCATGAAAAGGTAATATCAGCCCATCAGCAGCGTTCCTTGAAATTGATCTATCAGACAGGAAAGCACTGAGCTGCTTCACTCACAGGGAAAGTGTTTCTCTCCAATCACCAGAAAAAAGGGGGAAAAATGAATGACTGGAAGAACAGTTGTGCTTCTGAATTTGTAGACACACAGCAATGGAGGTGATGAGAAGCCCCCACCATACCCCATTTAGCATCAACGTATTTATTTATTTATTTATTTTGCTTTTTGGGTCACACCCGGCAATGCTCAGGGGTTACTCCTGGCTCTGCACTCAGGAATTACTCCTGGCAGTGCTCAGGGGACCATATGGGATGCTGGGAATCGAACCCAGGTCAGCTGCGTGCAAGGCAAATGCCTTACCCACTGCACTATCGCTCCAGCCCCAGCATCAGCATATTTGAAAGATCCACATCAAGTATAAGTTGTTGAGTGAAATTAGCTCTCATTTCCTACACTGCACTCTATACCAGGGAAGGGAGTGATGGTTTCAGTTTCAAATTGGGAATTCTTCTGTCCTGTATGACTTTTGTCCCTTGCCTGAAGCTGGACTAGAGGGCTACCCTGAGGGTGCCCTCTCACCTCCATGAAGTATGAATCAAAGTGCATGAATACTCTGACCTCTGGGTTCAGGCTGTGCCCATGCACCTCTCCCTGAAGCTGTCTTCCCCCTGGCAATACTCAGGCCTTGGGTGAGCATCCTCAGGCACTGTGAAGTGTGCCCAGCTCAGGGGCAAACTGGGCAGTTGGAAGGGAAGTTCTTTGTCTGGAAGGCCTGGGCTGAGCCAGGAGAGCTGAGCTGTGGGAGTGTGTGTCCCCTGTATGACTGGAGAAGGGTCAGGGCACAGTCCCTAAAGTGTGGAACCCAGAGAAGGGCCCTTCTTACCCAGGACTAAGCAAGTTAGTGAAGCACATGTCTTAGGGCCAAACAGACTGTTCAAATCCCACCTTACCCTCATAGTACAAGGTGTGTTATCCAACCCTGGGGAGACTCAGTGATTTTGGAGGGGGTGGGGGTGCTACATGCAGCAGTGTTCTGACTCGGGGGTTAGTCCCGAAGGTATTCAGGGAACTGTGTAACAAATTATCACACCCCTAGTGACTTCAAATCACAGTTTTCTCCAAAGTCTTGGCTAAACACGACCTTGCTTTTTTTTTTTTCTTTTTGGTCACACCCAGCGATGCACGGGGGTTACTCCTGGCTCAGGCACTCAGGAATTACTTCTGGCGGAGCTTGAGGGACCATATGGATACTGGGAATTGAACCTGGGTCAGCTGCATGCAAGGCAAACACCCTACCCGCTGAGCTGTTGCTCCAGCCCCAAACACAACCCTGCTTAACTGTGGTTAGCGGGGCTGCATTTCTCACTCAAGGCTCCAGGCGCCAGTCTGCCGCAAAGCCCTTGGGTGTGGGCAAAATCCATCTCCTCACTTCTGTGGGACTGTGCTTGCATTTCTCTACGGTCTGTTGGCTGGGGCCAGTCTTGGCTTCACATTCTTCCTTCATCTCCAAAACCACCAACAGCTTGGTCAGGCCTTCTCCAGGGCAGCAGTCTGGCCCCTGCTGCCTGGCCTGCCTCTTCTCACCTCTGCTCTCACTTCCCCTGCCATGTCCCTACCTCCCCTCTTCTGTGGACTCTCCAGGTAGAGAGTACAGGGGAGACCTTGTGGAATGCAGCTGCCACCCAGGCACACTACCTAGCCCTGGGGAGAGTCAGTCATTATTTGGGGTAGGGGAGGACCGGGGAGGGGTGCTGTACCTAATCTAGGTTTGCCTCTTCTCAGGGGAGCTTCTGCAGATGTCTGACCCCATGTGCTTCCCGAGGGCAGCCTGGTGGCCCCTGCCCTGATGGGGTTGAGCTGGGAATGGGTCTGGAGTCCACAGTGCCAGTTCCAGTGAGCTTCTGTCTTATTGGTGCAGTTCCTGTCCTGGTCTCTGGAAGTCTTGCCTTGGAGCGATTACCACACCAGCATTTCTCCCCAGGGCCTTATTTGGGGAATAAGAATCTGAAGCTTGTGGTTGACATTCCCAGTCACTGAGAGGCAACAGAACAGGAAGAGCCATTCTCCCCTCCCCTGCCTCATACTTACACTCATTTCTAGGTCTTGCTGTGCCACCGTGGGAAGCCAATGGAAGGAGGGGTGGGATCTGCCATGGTAGCAGCCTTCAGGTTTCTTCAGGTTTGGCACCCAGCAGGGGTGTGCAAAGGATGCTCTTCTCTTCCCACTTAACGCTTGGTGGCCCCTTGTCTGCTGATGGGGGTAAGGGGGGGCAGTTGGAGGTTGGGTTGGGGGTTGGGCTGTGGAATTCCGGGGAGCAGGGGATGAAGTTGCGTGCATGAACACAGGAATCCTGGTGTTGTCATACATCATGCTTTGCCTGATGGTTTGATGGCTCAGGGTGAGTTTCTAGAGCTGTGCTTGCTTCAAGGTCCCTTGTGAGAGAGGGAATTTCTCAATTCAGCCTGAGTTTGTCTAAGGTCGTGGAACCATCCATCAGGCACTGCTGCTTCTCAGAGAAGCACGTGTGGGTGGAGTGGGCCAAGCCTGTGTGGGCCGGATTCCCCGGGGGCTGGGGACTTTAAGCTTTAAGCAGAACACTGTGTAAACCCAGCCCACTGCACCCCAGCTCCACCACTGACAGACTTGGTCTGTCTGAGTCTAACTTCCTTTTTCTTTAAAATGAGTTTCTGCCCTTTGGCAGTTTGTGCTAAAGATCAAAGGGATGTTCCTATCCTATCTGGTGCTCAGTGTGTGTGTGTAGAGGGGGGACAGTTTTGCTCTTTCATCACTGAGGTCACTGTGGTTGTGTCTTTAATAGTACCTTGGGATTTGATCTCTCTCTCCAACAAGGAGGGATGGATGGGTGCATATCTAGGACCTACACTCTTGTCCATAGGGAATGCAGGAAAAGGCCTATTAGTGCAAAAGTTGCAGAGCTTCTGAGGTTCAAGTCTGACCACTGCCAAACTGACCCTCCCTTTGGGTCCTCTTGGGAGACCAGGAGAGCAGGGCAGGTAGGTGCTTGGACCCAATGGGAGATTCAGGGCTCTGATTGAGGCTTTTCTGAGATGGTGGAGGAAGAGACAGAGGGTCAGAGGGGAACCCACGAGAGCTGCAACCAGATGGGAGGTTCCCTGCTCAGCCTTCTGTGACATTTGATAGGTCAGAGAGATGATTCTAGGCTTGAGGCCTGGGTGGACGGGTGGTGAAAACAAGGAGGTCTTGAGTTTAAAGTCAGAGTCAGGAGGACTGCAAGGACACAGACGCCAGGAATTTGGGCCTGGAGAGCGACGTTAGGTCAAGATCTGAGAGCCAGGTGTGAAATGGGTGCTGGTTGGGCGAGGGGCAGAGGTGCCCCTGTGACCTTCCCTACTCCTCCTCACACCTCATGGCCCAGGTCCCTCCCATTTCCTGTTTCAACATTCTCCTTTTGGTTAAGATGTCCCTGTGACCCCCCCTCCCTTCCCCCGTCAAACTGTCCCTGCTGCTGGCCTCCCCTCATGCACAGCTCCGTGCCCATGTCTGAGTCAGCTGGTGATTTCTACCCAGGCCGGGGCTGGGAGTCATGCATGTCTCTCCCCTTCCTGCCTATGAGTTTCGTGCTCCGGAAATGTCAGCTGGATCCAAGAGCACAGTTGTCAGGTGACCACAGTTGGGGTGCCGGTCAGGACCTGGCTCTGCTCTCAGAGCCCTGGAATCTGGAACCTGGTCTAAGGGTTGGCACAGTCTAGGGGACCCGACTTGGGGGGATGCACCTCCAGGAGCAGGTGAAGATGTGGCTGAGCAGGGAAGGATGTTCTTTTCCACCCACTTAGGAGGCCAATGGCACAATCAATGCAGCTCAGCCCCCGGCCAGTCTTCGGGCTGGATCCAGAATCTCATTCTGAGTTTCTAAAAGATTAGTCTTATTGCTATTATTGGCAGAGGTAGTAATGGTTGAATATCTGCAGCCCTCACTGTGTGTGTTCTTCAGACAAGTCTCACCCAGTCTCGCCATGGCTCTATGAGGGAGGCTTCATTATTTTTTTAAACAACAACAAGAAGCAAAACAAAGTCTCAGGGGTTACAGGCTGGAGTGTTGCAGGCACTTGACCTCCTACCAGTTTTATTCCAGGTTCATGTGGCTTTTGCATCCTCTCTACTAGCTCCAAACTCACTGTGTTGGACGTTTCATCAGTCTCCCGTTGCTCTCTCCTTCCCACACTGGGCCTGGAGAGGCTGCTGCCTGCAGAACCCCACGCTTCCTTTGCAAACCTTTCTGCTAATGCTGGCCCAGGAGGGCAGGTACCAAGCCCCTTACCACATCTGGCCTCACAGTCTGGGGCACAGCAAGGGTGCACCTACCTTCCTGCACCCCCGTTCCCCGCATCCCCATCCCCACCCCAATAGCTTAGTCTTTGTCCTCTACACTTACTGTCCACAATGGGAATTGGAATTTGGGAGGGAAAAATTGTCATGCTAACCCTTCAACCATGAAGCAAAGAGACTGAAGGTTTGCACACGTCAGGTGTGTGTGTGTGGAGGGGGCGCGGAGGGGTGGCGAGGACTGGCAGGATGAGGGTGATTGCATCCATGTTTTCCAGGTCAGCACTTTCTGCCTGAGTCAGGACATTTTGAGGGGGTGTTCGAAACTGTTTTTAGGATGTAGGGGGCCCCACTGGTGATTCTTGGCCATCTGGGTGGTCCGTTCAGTGCAAGAGCCTGAGGAAGGGCTGCAGCTTGGGTCCCACCATGCTGTGGATATCCATCTGGGCTTGGAGATGCTGGGGGTCTCCAAGCCCACACCTGGTGATGCTCAGGGGACCATGTAGTTCCAGGAACTGAATCCAGGTTGTACTATTTTTCTGCCCTGAAACATTTCTTTGTCAATTGTTGTCAGGGTCCCACCTGGTGGGGCTCAGTGCTTAAGTGGTACTGGGGACCTCACACCCATAGCCTCATATGATCTACTGCTTGAGCCACATCATCTGCCTGTGTGTTTGCAGCATGAGGAGTTTGTGGCATACAGTGGTGGTACACAGGTCACCCCCCTAATTTAGATGTTTCCGTGGGACTTTGTGGCCATGTGCTTTTCTCCATTTCTAAGTGAGAGCTGACCCATGACTGGGTGTGTAGGGGGTGGGGAGGGGAGGTGTCTCTAAGCTCTGAAATCTCAGAAGCTGCATTCATGTGGCCTTCTCAAAAGCTGGGTGGGCAACTCTGGCAGAACCTGCCTGACTCAACCTACCCCATCTACTCCTGCCATTCAGGAGGTTCTGCTTCCGTGCCCCTCACTGGATAAAGCACGGCAGATTCTCTGGCATCCCAAACTTCCAGGCCTCGGGTGGCCTGCTCAGAAAGGAATGAAGGCAAGCTTAGGGCTGCAACCATGAATGGCAGTTCGCCTTCTTTAGTGTGAACACTGAAGCTCTGATCGCCTCCAGCAATACCTGGAACAGTAATTATTCGGTGCCGCCTTTGCGTCATTGATTAATGATTCCCAGAACTGCAAACACATTTCCTGCAGACAGCTCCATGGGAGGTGAGGAGTGGTTTATTTAATGCATGTTAATTGTGGACCCTTGCCAGTCACTGCATGGTTAGGGACCACCCCTCAACTTTTCTCCACGCAGTTGCTCTCAGAAGTGAGGCTCTGAGTAAAATAAATAAATAAAAGGCCACAAGACTGTGTCCACAGAGCTCCAGGGAGAGTTTGTGCTGCTGCTCTCCCTAATAACATGAACAATGAAACTTTATTTTATTTTTTAAAGATAAATTGAATATAAAATCTAAGTTTGTCTTTGGTGGAAAGCCATCAGCTTTAGGCAAAGGAAGTTATTTTTGCTCTGGGCAGCAGAGAGCAGCATCAAGCTCTTCGGGGTATTTTTAGCTGAGGTTGTCTGTAGCAGTTGGAGAAATGTGTTAACCTTTATCCCTGTAGTAACCTCCCATCTGGGCGATTCACCAGGATGACCAAAATACAGGGCTGTGCAAATAGGTCTGATTTTGTTTCCAAAGATCCCTTCTGTGGCTTTCTCAATACACAGGGCCCCTCTTGAACTGATTCCCCCCTGACCCACAGGGAGGGAGAGGCTTGAACACATTCACACCCCCACACAATCATGTACTGTCACAGAGATACCCAGACGCCATTCCACTCACACATATTCACACACTCAAACCCCACATGATCAGACACACTCAAACAACACACACACATACACACCCTTCTATCCTCACATATTTTCATATGTTCATATATATAGTCACAGCCCCTTATGATCAAACACATGCACATAACCTTTTTTCTTTAATTATCTTCTTATAATGTCCAAACGGGCTGGAGCGATAGCACAGTGGATAGGCGCTTGCCTTGCACGCGGCCAATATGGCTGACCCGAGTTCGATTCCTCTGCCCCTCTCGGAGAGCCCGGCAAGCTACCGAGAGTATCTCGCCCGCACGGCAAAGCCTGGCAAGCTCCCCGTGACATATTTAATATGCCAAAACACAGTAACAAGTGTCACTATGGAGACGTTACTGGGCCCGCTCGAGCAAATCGATGAACAACGGGAGGACCGTGACTGTGAATGTCCAAACATGTCTAACTAGTACAATACTTTGTGCCCTGGAATACTCCTACCCTTATCTTCTTAACTCCTAAATCTAGCCTTGGTGTTACCTCTCCTCATCTGGCTCAGGCACCTCTCCCCCTGCACCTCCATAATGTGCAGGAAAAGTTGAATGTTTTTCTTCACCTGTTGGTTAGACCATGAAGGTGTGCTTTGACTCCCTCTTGTGCCTAGCAAGGCATGGGGCATGCGCTAGACTCCAACGCACACCAGTTTGAGGAAGTTATGAACAATAAATGAGGGAGTGACAGGCTCAACATGCTGACAGGAGATGAGGCCTTATCTTTTATAGCCTGACTGGTGTCCATGAGGCTCTTTATTTTGGTCCTCCAATCGCCTGCAGATTACTCTGGATTATGTATTCTAATGCAGATTCCAAGATCCACTATGCAACTGCTGACTCAGAATCCAGGCCTGTAGTCTGGAAACATCTCTTATCATAGCTACGTAGGTTTTCTCATATTTAGAAGCTTCTAGAATATATGTCCACATTTTATGTTATTTAGAGATGTTGGGGTTTAGAGCCTCTATTTCTATTATTTAGAGCCTCCCTGGCTAGAAGTGTTCTCTAGTTTCCAAAGAGCCGGTCCTAAATTGATGCAGCTCCAGCTAGACACTGTTTTTGACAGTTTTAGGGACTTGTAATGAATTTTACATCCCATTCATGCAGTTTCCAGTCTTTCCCAGCTAGTCTTTGGTTTTGTGCAGACTTGTACAAGCAAGTGGCACAGGCACGCAGGCAGGGGGCATCCCTGCTCCTTGTCTCTGCCTGAGAAATAAGATGCCATCAAAAGATCCACAGGTTACATTTCTTCCTGTGTTTGCTAAATTAGTTTGTAAAACATAACAGCTCCTTGGAGCTTTCGCATACATTTCTTTGATCACTAGTAGGACAGAATGCTCCATCTGAAAACGGTCAAGGAAGATTTAGATTATCAGCCAGGCATCATGGGTGGCCAGCGTAGAGTCATTCAAATAGTTTTCCTGTTTTGATACTTAACTTTTCCTCAGTCATCAGTGCCTTAAAAATAAATAGAAGGTATTTTGTTTTCACATGCCAGCCTACCAATGCATGGAAAATTAGATCTCGGGGAACAGATATGTAGAAAGGTGTATGTGGCAGGTACGAGTAGGGTGAAGCTGCTTTTGTAGAGATTGTAAGCACACATATGAGAGCACACACATGGGCACATTTTTTCTGAACTAGCTGCCTCTGTGTTTCCAATGAGTAACTTAGGCACTGAACTGAATTGCCAACGAATAACAGGGAAGAATGGCAGGCTACCAGCTGAACTGCCCTTTTGTCGGTATGCACTTTGGGACTGATACTGGGAGTATGTATTGGCGGGAGCTTCTGTAGAATGTTCCAGCACACTGTTGCTCTGGGAACTTCAGCACTGGCAGTTTTGGATTTCTATATAACCAGCTCCTCCTATACCTAGGGGCCAGATATGGACATATACATAGTTATTCTCCTATCTGGAGTGATAATATACCATCCAGCCAAGCTTAAAAAAATTCTACTTATGAAGCAGAAGTTCCACTCTTTTTAAAGTGATCGATAGACTCACGGCATGAGGGATTTCTTAATCATGAGTAAACTTGGGGATGGAGCCCTCTCAGGGCTAATTTAAATGGAAGAGCAGGTAATAGTTCACTTGGGTTCATTTTCCAGTTTTTAAAATGCCATTCTTTTCTAGAAGAATCAATTTTTAAGCTATTAACCCAGCTCTCACCAGACATTTTTCTTGTGGCTTGGTTTATTCTTTATGCTTAATTCTCCCCTAAAGAAAAGCACCAGGAGATCATAGAAATGTGTTTCCACCCCCTACTGTTGGCAGAGAGATGTTGAGTGAGGCTGAGGTTTTATAGGGAAGGAGCGATTTTGGAGTTGATGCCATGTATTACTAGGTGAACTTGAGGATGGGAAAAAGGGAAAGGTTTAAGCAATCTGACATCACCCTAAGAACCCTGAGAAGATGTTTATTGGAGTGCAGGAAGACATCCTGGCAATATCTTGGACTAGTCAAACTAAAGAAAATCCCCATCTGTCACCTCCAATTTTACTTCAAGGACATTGACTTCATATCTCTGTGTGTGTCTTATCGTGACATACATACAAAGACATTTACCATAACACTGTTGATCTCATCAAAAACATCTGAAAAACTATTTAAATCAATAGGGGATTGATTAAACACTTGTAGTACATGACACAAGGTAGTCTGCACCTATTTTAAGGGTGAAATATCCTGTCTACTGCTGGTGGGAATCTTGACTAGTTCATCCTCTATGGAAAACAATATGGATGTTTCTCAGAAAAGTAAAACTAGAGTTACCATATGACCCAGCAATTCTACTTCTTGAGAATGTACCCCCAGAACATCAAAAATTCATTCAAAAGGATATAAACACACAGCTAATCACTGAAGCATCAAGTCCAACACTGAAGCACTAAAATATGGAATCAACTTAGTGTTCAATGACAGATAAAAGATTTATGAAAGTGTGGTGTGTTTGTATACATAGTACAATACTATGCAGCTGGTGGGTCACAGCCCTCCAGCCTACCATAGAACAAGAGGCTTGCTTTGCATGTTCATGAGCTACCTCTGATACTGTCTATTCGTCCAGGTGACACAGAAGTATTCCCTGGTGATTGTGAAGGGCCACCTGGTCTTCGAAGCAGTCCTGCTGTTTGGCCAACAGCACTTCTATATCTGCGAGAACTTCACACTGTCTCCTGTAGGTGATGTCTACTGCACCCGTCACTGCCTATCCAAGTGAGTTCCCCAACCTCTCCTATAGATTTCACCTTGAGCTAGAACCTTCCTCATTAGCCATCCCCATGCCTGCCAGTCATATCTAAAACTGAGCCAGATGTTAAAACGAAGGAACCCTAGGACATAAGTATCCATTCCTGTGATTCCCCAGAGTTAAAATCTGAAAGGATCACAAGTGTGGCCATTCCAAGTGCCTCTCCTCTTGTGGAATGCACCACAAACAAGGGTTCTCACCTTCAACTATTTAGATAAGTGAATTTAGTCCCCCAAAGCATACTTACTTAATCACTTGTGAATTTTTTTTATGCTATGCCAAACAAGGCACACAAGTACAATTGATAATACAAACTAGTTCTTGTGGAGTTTGGAGCATGGATAAAAATTTATGTCAAGGGAGTATGTTAAGGAGTGTATAGTTAGGAGAGGATGTGGGTTAATGTAGTGAGGGAAGGCTTCTTAAGGAAGCAGGCAAAGATCTGGGTCTCAAAGGGTGAATAAGAAATTTGAAGAGTATACCAACTATTATCAACCATCTTTTGAAGAAAATTCCAAGGCTTTTCCTTATGACCAAGTGTATTTGGACTATTTGAATTTAATTAGCCTTAACTAATCAGTTCTCCTGTGGTTATAAAATCTGTTTAAAATCAAGATGTTGAATTGGCATCTTTTCTAGAATTTCAGCAATGCCTTTGAAAACATGTGGATGAATATTTATTTATCCAGAGACAAACCTTAACTTTTTTAGTTAGTCAAGATTTAAGTGATGACAAGATGGCCTTTTCACTGGGTCTTGCAAACTAACAGATCAAAGTAGACCAAGCGTCTGTTTAAAACAGCTTTCCGGAACCTACCTTCCCTGCAGCTTTTAACTGAGTAGGTTTGACTTATCATCTGAGATTTTAACAAGTTCAAGCACATGCTGATGCTACTTGGTCCAGAGTAGGACCACATTTTGAGAACCACTATTGATAGCTCTACCTGGCAATAATAAGTTTTAACTCCCAGTTGTCCTCTCATTTTCAGCCAATGTAAGGAAGCAAGAGTTAAGAAGCGTGGTGGAATGGGTGTCAGCTTCCCTCTTTTGATTTAGATTTGCTTTAAAACACTTGGCATTATTTTCTCTGCTAATTTCCATCTTTTATTCATACCCAACATTCACCGATTGCTGTAAGTCTTCTGTGCTTTTCTAAGGAAGGAGGAGCATAATTAATACTTGGCACACTCATCCCATCTTATTGCTCATGTTTTATTGATACTGATCAATATGGACAATGGGTCTGCAGACTTGCCTTTCTGAGAGCTGATGAAAGCTTTCTACTCTACCTATATGCATGGCATGACTGTGTAATGCCTTGCATAATCCATTGCTTCACTCTCCACCTCTGGTTTAAATCGAGTTAGTGTTAGATAAGATCTTATTGATTAGGTAAATTGTGTTTATGAGGTGCATCTAATCATGATCAAATTGACTATATCTGCACTTTTAATAGAAGCCCAGTCCTCCGTGTGTGTACTCACTTGATTTGTAATGACAAGGGAGACTTCCCATGTCTGGAAATGTACTTCTTTAGAATACAAGCAGGAGTTTAGTGAGAAAAAATGACTGCCCTGGAATGCCTTTGGGAATTGCACAGGTAATTTTAGTCACTGTACCTCCAAGGAGTATGTGTTAACCAGACAGCACTTTCTCTCCAAGGTCTTGTCTACTGCCCAAAGAAGCTGCTGGCACTCATGGAGATACAGTTCTCAGAGGCAGGCTATTAGATCATGTCAGATCAATGGGGGATTCAGTCTTATTTTGACCATGGAGACTAAGGAAGATACATAAATAAGTGGGTTAAAAATAAAAGCTAAGTCAACTCTGAAATGTTTCTCTAAAAGACTGCCATCAAACTGCATCTAGTTTAGCATTAGACCTTGAAAGAGGCTCTCTGATGTATCAAAAATACCCCAATAAAACTCAAGAACACAGTAAATCCTCCAGCAGGTCTTTGTACTCTGGGACTTTCTTTGGAAACAGTGATCATTATAAGGAGAATTTATTCTGCATTCAGTGACGTCTCTTCCTGACAAAATGGAGTGTTCACTTTGGCTACTGCAAACAACTACTCCAAGTGGAATGGCTGATAAAGTAGAAGTTGTTGCCTAGCAGTACTGGAGGCTACAAATCTGAAGACAAAGTGTGGGCAGGGTCATGTTTCCTGTAAGCGTTCTCGAGTAGGGCTTGTCCTCCCTCCACCATTCTTTTGCTGTTTCCCAGCAAGCTTTGGTGTTCATAGGCTTGTAGATACTCATTCAGGACATGGAAGTGTCTTCTCCCACCCAATGAATATTCACATCAGTTTCCATCTGGTGTCCAGATTTCTCCTCTATGAAAGCAGACTAGTCCTAATAGATCAGAATTTTTTTTGTTTGCTTGTTTTTTTTTGGGGGGGGGGTGTCACACCTGGCTGTGCTAAGGATTTAGTCCTGGCTCTGTGCTCAGGAGTCACTTTTGGCAGGATTGAGGAAACATAGGGGGTGGCAGGGATTGAACCTGGGTGAACTGTGTGCAAGGCAAATAAAATTTCTACTTTATTAACCATTCTATTTGAGGGTACTTGGTTGTAGTAGCCCAAGTAAACACTCCATTTTGTTCGAAAGGGATGCCACTGAATGCAGTATTCTCCTCGTAAATGACCATTGTTTCTAAAGAAATTTCCAGAGCACAGAGACCTATCTCAGCTGGAAGATATGCAGTTTTCTTGAGATTTATTTGGAGTATTTTTATGATACATCAGAGAGCCTCTTTCAAGGACGAATGCTCAACTAGATGCAGTTTGATGGGAGTCTTTTGGAGAAGCAGTTTAGGGTTGACTTAGCTTCCTGCCCATTGATTTGGAGGTCTGACTATGTGTTGGTGCACCGAACATGAAGAATGTAGTGCTGGCAAAGAGGGTCAATCACAGCCTTGTGACTAATGCTACTTTAGAGGGAATCTTTAGTGGGCTAGGGATATGGCTCTGTGGTAAAGCTCTTGCCACTGGCAGTTGGTGCCAGTACCGTGGTAAGCAGTGACCTGGCTCTCCTTCTTATTGCATGTTCTGCTTCCTCCACAGCATCAGCGATCCATTCATTTTCAACATGTGCAGCAAAGACAGGTCCTCCAACCATTACTCTTGCCAGCGACACAGCTACAGTGACCTCAGGGAGCTCCGGCAGGCTCAGTTCCTTCTACAGGTATTCTCGGGGCAGGGGGGCTCCAGCGGCAAGCTCTCTTCATGGGGATGTGGTCTAGGCACCCACTGGTGCTTCATCTGAATATGTGGGGCATATCTTCATGACTGCCCCGTTCCTACTTGTACCCAGTCTTTCGGGGCACACATGTGAATTCTCTAGGCTTATAGTGGGTTCTGTGTCCTAGTGTAGAGCTCTGACTTCTGTTCCACTTTACCCCTGAATCTGACACTTTGTCCCTTGGCATTTATCTTATGTGTCATTGAGAATGGGCTGGATCGATAGCACAGCGGGTAGGGCATTTGCCTTGTATGTGGCTGGTTGGCCTACCGGAGTTTGATTCCTCCTCCCCTCTCGGAGAGCCCAGCAAACTACCAAGAGTATTTTGCCCGCATGGCAAAAGCCTGGCAAGCTACCTGTGATGTATTCAATACACCAAACACAGTAACAACAAGTCTCACAATGTTCTGGGCCTGCTCAAGCAAATCGATGAACAATGAGGAGACAGTGCTACAGTGCTACAGTCATTGAGAATTTCGCCTCTTGGCTTTATTTTCCTTTTTACAGTCTCAAAGATACATTGGAAATTGAGGAGGACATGCCAGGGCCACTTTATTTCATTCTGTAATGTTGGTGCCCTGATATGCGAGAGAGGCTGTGTCCTATTTTGACAAGTGGATCTCCTCTGTTGGCTTCTTCTCCCTTCCTGACCTGTCTCAAACTTCTGCATTCCTGGAGTCAAGAGATATAGAGATCTCCTGAGGGCTCTGATCAGAATTCCCAGAGTCTCAGCCAAAGCCTACAAGGCCGACTTGAGTGAAGAATGGAACTGATTCCTTTCAATGGCAGAACTCTGTTTTCACCCAGTTACAATGTAAGGCTTCTCACTTCTGGGATAAGAGCCTCACTTCCAAGTCAAAGGAAAGAGGAGGAGCTCCCTGCCCGCTCCCTGCCTTTACTTCCCTCGGGGCATCTAGCTTTCTTGAGGCTAGTCTCAGTAACAGCAAAACTGCATCAATGATCTGATGTCTGTTTACCAGGCAGCTTGCAGAAGAGGAGGGAAAGGGTCAGCCTTGTAGGACTGGGTGTCCCTTCCCTCTGGGCTTTGTCTCCAAGTTTCCTTTTGCACAGACTACCAGGACTGACTTCTTGGTCCCCAAAACTGATGAATGCCTTTCATTTGTAATTTTTGGGGAGGTTGTACAATTCATCAGATGATCCTCCTGCAGAAGACCTCATTATTTTCCGAAACTGAAACTCTGGGGGGTGGGAATGGCTAAGTTGGGGCAGTTCATGCTAGAAAGTATCAGTTGCCATGTTGGCAAAGGTCCAGCAAGCTGTGGACATCTGGTCAGCCCTCTTCCCTGCTCTTTGCTGCCTTGCCCACAAACCTTGGTTCTCATTTTGCCTAACTTTAATGAGTTTCTCAGTGAGAAGGGTGAGCTAGAAAGGAATAATGGAAGAAAACCCTGCCCAGAAGGTTCTGGACCTTGCATTCATCATGGTCTCAGTGCCCTTCATGGTTCTGCAGCTTTGGCATGTATGCGCTCCTCTTCAGATTTCTATTTTCCTCCACTGAACTGACTAATGTGCCTTGATTTTTTTCACCATTACATGTTTAGTACTTACGTTTTGGGGGCACAGAGTCAGTACTCAAAACTATTTTATGATTATCTGACTACATTATAGGTTATGTATAGCAGATAGGTATCAGTAAATTTCTTTCCCCCTCATAAATGTGATTGTTTCCAGATGGTTGGTTAGCTTGACTATTTTGGAAGCCAGAAGTGGGAGGATGTGTGTAAGTGTGGCCAGATGGGCTGGAGAGAACTTTCTGAGCCAGGCTGCAGTCCTGAATTCTCCCAGGAGAAAGTCAGAACTTGGGCACTCTTGGTTGCCAGGTCAAGCTGGAACCACCACAGACTCTATGTTGTCATTAATTTTGAACATTATTTAATTTCTAACAGTAGAGGAAATATCCTGGGTTTTAAGTGCACCAGAAGAGGGGCTTTGTATTGTCACTTATAAATACCTGCCCTCTGCACAGAAGACTAATGAACTAGTCTTTGGGAACTCACTTCCAGACAAGTACAAGCAGGCCCTGACTATTGTTGAGGCAGCGCCCTACCTGGGCCTCCCCTTACTCACTCCATCTGTCCTCCAGGCAGAGGTCTCACATTTTCCCAGGTCCTCTCTCTAATCCGGGACATTCTCTTCTTAACCTCATCTCATCCCTGAACCTCATCCTATATTTGGGCTCTCTATGGCTCTTCCAAGTCTGTTATTCACATAGCTCGGAATAAAACAGGAGAAGGATAGGAAAAGGAGAGTTAGAAAAAGGAAGAAAACATTTAGACTTTACATAGGCATAACAGAATACCCTCACAATGCTCTTACTCTTTCTATGGGGGCATCAAAATAGCTCTGCAAAATGGACACGGCATAACACTCTGTGTCCTCAAGACTCTGGGCAGTGTGTGTAGGCTGCCTGTATTGGGAGGTGCACCCACCCAATCAATATCCCAGTGTTTCATGTAAGATAGCCCTGGTTTAGAAAACAAGTTCCATGACCCAAATATTTCCTTCCTTTCACATGACCCAAATGTGAAAGAAATCTGAAGGTGTCACTAGGCAATACCCCCCCCCTTTTTTTGGATCCTTGTCCTGAAAATGGGCTTCTTGCTTCTTCCTTTGAGAAAAAAATGTTTGAGTCCCCAATTTCTGTGAGGTTCAGCTCATTTTGATCACCTAGGTCTTCATACTTCCTTGGGCAATATGAAAGAAGAGTATTCTACTTGACCAGGTAGAGGTTAGAGAGAGTTTCCTGATACCCAAGGAACCAAATAACCCATGGTCAATGGCCCAATTGCCTGAGGGCATCTCCATATAAGAAAACTTCAAAATAGTAAAAGGAGTTTGTCTTTATAGGACATCGCCCTGGAGATCTTTTTCCGAGATGGATATTCCAAGTTCCTTGTCTTTCACAGCAGTGATAGGAGTAAGGCCTTCAAAAGGTAAGAATTTGAGGAAACTGGTCATAAATTTTGTTGTTGCTTTGGGGGCCACACCTAGTGGTGAGCTTTAACTACTCTTGGTTCAATGTTCAAAGGTCACTTCTGCAGTGCTTGGGAGCCACATGGTACCGGGCATTGAAACCTGAGTCCCTGCATGCAAAGCAGGTGCTTTAGCATTTAAAACTATTTCCCTACCCTACCAACTGATGATAATTTAAGAGCAGAGGAGCAGAGACCTCTCAGTTCTGTTCTCAGAAGAATCATTCTCTGTCCATCGTGCACGTAATTCAGGTTAGATTGTGGAAGAAGCTACAGATTCAGAGAGCTGCTGAATCATGGAGTCAAGGATTGAGAAATATAAAGAAAATGTCCTGTTCCCAAATCCTGGGAAACAGGCTGCTCCATTTCATGGACTGAAGTGGTTTAGGACAATAATGACTAAAGGGAGAAAAATTGTGCAGACACAACATATTTAAGAAACTGGCTGTTTAATGGGCCTTCCAGAATTTTCTGGCATTACTTTCTAATTTTCCAAGTAATATTTTTCTGAGCTTAATCTTCCTTTTTGATCCCAGCTGCCAATTTTAGCTGTTCCAATTTCATATTTCATTGGAAAGAATTCCAAACAACTGATTTCCCACTCTTGCACAGAATGGCTTTATTTTTTCCTTAAAGAGAGAAGGTTGCTGTTTTGGTTTAACACTTTCTCTAAACAGATGAAGCCTCCTAAGAAATTTAAGACAATGTCTGAATTTTCAATACACATGGCTTTTTGTTTTTAGTTACTAAAGTTATAAATTGAGATTTGTCTAGAATCTAGAGATAGAAGAAAAGTGGGTTGTTTGTTTATATTCTGTTTTTAGCCATAAGTAGTCCACACAGAAGTGGAATCAACAAATAAGGCTGCTTATGTCCTGTTTGATTCTGAGTTAGAAGTTTTGAGGTGAGATGTCTCACCCGGGTGGACAGCCCAGTCGGATCACAGTGCCTCCAGGGTTTCTGTGGCACTGACCACAGAATCTACTGGATCTACCCTGGATCTACTGCCAGGTCTATGGTCAGGGGCAGAGTGAGGAAAAACAATTGCTCAGAGTCTGTAGGACCCCTTTGAGGTGCTTTAATACCATACCTCCTGCAGTTATCTTCAAGTTCTGTTTTCTATCAAGCTGAAGTAGCACCCATGCCACATTGACTGTTACATTCACGTTGCTACGGTTTCTGAATATTAAACCAAGTCTCTCAGTGTGTCTGGAAGTCTTGTACAGCTATAGGTCAGGCAGTGAATGTACCTACAGTAAACTCCTCAAGCATTGTTCCTGCGTAGGGGGCTCTATATTAGTATGGCATGTCCCTTTCCCCAGTGCCACACAGTATAGCAGTGTCTGCTGACATTGGCCATGAAAATGCCATGTGTCTGGTCCAAATGAAGGTGTCTTGAGATGATTGTTTAAATGGCTCATTGTTATTAAGGCTAAAGGATGTGATGCCAAAGGGCTGCTGATGAGCGAGAATGTATCCCGGGTACAGCTAGGTCTAGTGTCCATGATTTGGGGGCAGGATGGGAGCTAAGGGGAAACAATGAACCCAATCTCTTGCCTGGTTTTGAAAATGTCACCCGTTTTGAAAATGGTGTGTGTGTGTGTGTGTGTGTGTGTGTGTGTGTGTGTGTGTGTGTGTTGGGGGGAGAGTGGCAACTCTGCTAATAGTTCTTTCCCTTTTTATTTAGCTTCTGCTCCTTCCAACCCAGCTTGAAGGGGAAAGGCATCACAGAGGACCCCCTCCATCTAAGGTAAGAGGCAGGGTGGTCAGTGTGCTCACATATGTGTGCTGGCTTCTTCAGTCTGATTCTACTAAAGAGAAGCAGCACACACACACACACACACACACACACACACACACACACACACAAAGCATGACCCACTGCCTTTTTCCTTATTTCTCTCATCTTGATGTATCTCCACCTACTCCTGAAATTTCATTCACTGCTGAACCTCCATGAACAGACTTGAAGTTTCACATGATCTATCGCGTTTTTCAAACCCAAATAGTAGAGAGTACCCTCTCCCACCCAACTACCTTCAGAGGTGTTAGCCCAGGCCCAGCCCTAGCAGCAAGCCCTCATGTCAGTGTCTCAGCAGTTCCAGGTCTCCCAGGGCTATGAATATGCTTTTGATGTTAATTTATGAATGAATCGTGTCCAGTGAGTTAAATGCTTCTGGTCCCTTCCCAAGTATCCCCATACTTCCCCAAACAAGTTACAAGTGTTCATTCCTCCAGAAGTCCAGTTCAACATCAGTGGGTGCTTTATTTCAGTTGAGGGGAATAGAGGGAAAAGGGATAATACAGGGGTAAGGAATATGCCTTGCATGTGGTTGATCGCAGTTTGATCATCACCACTACATGGACTACTAAGCACCACGAGGTGCTACTCTGGAGGCCCCTCAGGACCATCTTGATGATCCACAGCACTGCAGGGCCTGGGAATAATCAGGCCCCAGGTCTCTTGAGAACCACATAAGAGATCTTCCTCCATATAAAAAAAGGAAAAGGAGAATAAGGAAGAGAGGGTGGTGGCTAGTATTCTCCAGGAATGTGTAGGGATAAATAAGGTAAAGAGGGGTGTCCCCTTGAGCAGTATTCAAAAATTCTTTAATGACTTATATAATGGATGCATCATCTGTCACATTTACCGCAACAATCCATGTACCCATATCTTTTGTAACCATAATGTTTACATTTGTATGAGACAGACAAAATGATTTAAAACAATGAACTCTCTCTCTCCCCCTCTCTCTCTTTCTCTTTCTTTCCTTTTTGTCATTGTGGTTTTTAGTACAGATACTGAAAAATTATCATGCTTATCCCTTTACTACTTTCAACACTCGGTTCTTGTCCAGAGTGATAATTTCTAACTATTATTGTCATATTGGTGAGAGAGAGAGAGAGGAAGAGAAAGAGAGTGAGAAAGAAGAAATGTGCCTGCCATAGAGGCAGGTGGGTAGTGGGTGGGAGGAAAACTGGGGCTATTGGTGGTGGGAAATGTACACTGGTGAAGGGACAGATGCTGGAACATTGTATGATGGAACATTGTATGACTGAAACCCAATCATGAACAACTTTGTAACTGTGTATCTCACTGTGATTTGAAAAAAAAAGTCAATGAAACTAAAACAAAATAAAGGGATGAATCATATAGCACATCAGGTAATGATAAGTGCAATAAACAAAGCAGATGGAGGTTTAAGAATAGAAATCTCAGACTGGACAATGACGAAGTCCTAGCAAGGCAGCAGTATTCAAATTCAGACGTGAGCAAGAGGGGAAAACAAGGGAAGAGCAGAGCAAGGGCACAGAGGCTGAGGAGACAAGGCAGTATTCTGGCTGAAGCCTGAGTGACAGTGCAGCCTGGGGTTCGTAGGAGGAGAGGAGAGGGGCTTGGTCCCTGCAAACCAGGGCCTCACCATAATGACATTGAATATGGTGGGAAGAATTGGAGGAAAGTTTAAATGATATACTTTAGCTTCAGTGCCAAGAACAGACTATAGTAAGTTAGAGGCATAAATAAGCCAGAAAAAAGGTAAGGAAGACTCTGCAGTCACTCAGGTAAGAACTGAAGGGACACTGGATCAGAGATAGTGGTAGCAAAGAAGTTATGAAGTGTCAGATTGTGGATATGCTCAAAGGAGTATTATGGATAGCCATAATAGTGGTGGGGTTTGTTGACCAATCAATCATGGGGGTTTGAGGATCAGACAAAGGATTTACATTTGGAAAGTTGAAAAGTAAGATGGCAAGTATCACAGGTATAAACTGCTCTGGTATGTGGTGTTGCTATCAAGAGATCGTTCTGGACATGTTGATTGTGAGACACTGATCAGATATATGAGAGTCATGTAGACCAAGTATATAGGAATCTGGGAATCAGACTCATAATCCAGTGGATATATGGGAGAGCCCAGGTGAACTGTAAATTTAGAATACTGAAGCTTAAGACTAAAACCAGATTTAGTAAGAGAATTAGTGCCCACGGAAATAAAATTTATTCTGGAGTGGCTGGAGAGAAATAACACAGCAGGGAAGGAGATTTCCTTGAACATGGCCAACCCAGGCTCAATCTGTATCACCACAAATGGTTTCCTGCGCCCCACCAGTAATAATACCTGAACACAGAGTCAGGAACAAGGCCTGAGTACAGCCAGGTATGTACCAAAAACCAAAACTAAATAAAACAATAAAAGAATCATTCTAGATGGGACAACCTTATAACAGTTAAAGACAGGGGAAGAGTCAACAAAAGAGATTGAGAAGTTGCAGCCAAAAAGGTAGGAGGGACTGCGGATGTGGGAGATGTCATAAAAGCAGGTCAAGTGTTGCAAAAGGGAGTTGTCAGCTGTGTTGCTGATCCAATGTTGGTAGGCCAAGGAACTGAGACATGATCATTGAACTTTGTAATATGGGGGTCATGGAGAGTTTTTAATGAACCAATTGAAGACATCAGCAGCAGATACCCCCTATTGTGCTAGGCAATAGCCTTTTCAACTGCAGAGGAAGTCCCCGAGTATGCTGTCCAGAAGACACTGGGCCACTGGAGGCAGGGAAGCTGTTTGCCAACTGGAATGGATATAGTTTAATAGTTTGGCAACAGTACAGCCCTGTTGTGCAGATCAACAGAATGATCCCATGTTATATGTAAATCATCTTGCCTGCATTTGGATTTCTCTACAATATTTTAGTGCAAGTGATAGAATGTCATTTCAAATGAACTGAGGCAAGAAAAGAAGATTCATTCCCTCAATACCAGAAGGCCCAGAATCTTGACAGTCTGTAGCTGTCTTAGTTCAATAAATCTGCACTGTGAGTACCTCTCCTTCTCAAAGTGAGAATGCCCCTGGACTTCCCCCATTCTCAGTTGACTTTGTCAGGGTCTCCTGGTGAAGCACTTAGAAACCCCACAATGTAAAGATTTGTGGAATTTTAGCAAGAATTTTAGAAAAAAAATGATTTCAGCAAACTCATATTTTCTATTTTAGAATTTTTCTTTCACCCCTTTCTCGTAGGCACTGGAATAGTTATTGTTGCTATGACCGGGGGTTATCTGGTCCTGGTTGTGACACTCAGTTTTAGCTGTAGTGCTTGGGAGTTAAACAGATATTCACTACTTAGTAACGATACTCTCTGAGGTTTCCACTTCTTCAGTTGTGGTGCTTCCATGCATGCTTGTTAGGAGTCTAATGCTTAGTTGAGGCACACACATTATGGCTGGGGTGTATGCCAGGGGCCACTGTGGTGCTCATGCATGTGCCCATCAGTGATTGCGCACCCTGACCTTGGCCCTTGCACATCGTTTTTTAGCTGCTATATTTGTGGCAGTCTCACTCCATTGGGTGGTGCTGACACACACCTGACTGCAATGCGGTCAGAAATTGCTTGTAACACCAGGGATAGGCAGACAGCAGGACAGCCAGGCTTGAACAACAGAGCTGTCAGCATTGCACAGAGTGCCTTTGGGATGCTGGGCATTTGAACACGAGCCCATAAGCTTGCAAGGCCGGTGCTCTCAGAAGCCACTGTGCTATTCCTCCAGACACCCAGAACTGAGGCTTATTTGTCCAGATTCATTTAGTGCCAACATCCACCATGTGCTTTCATTGGCCTGATCAGGGTGAGGTGCTCACCCACCTTCTGGGCTCATTTGAAAGCACTACATAGTGCTCTGGGGAAATGTGTATGGATGCTTGTGGAAGGCAGGCTTTGACAAAATGAGAAAGCAACGAAGAAAAATCCAGACCCCAGGTTCAGAGACCACCAAAAAGCCTAGGGGTATTCTAAGACTGTGCAGCAACAGACACCCAGTGCTGTGAGATCAAACTGGCTGGAGTTCATTGTAGGTTCTCTCTAAGCTGGAAATCCTTTGCTTACTTTTAGAACCACTCTGTATGTATTTTGAGCATGCTTATGGAACAGTTAGTAAAAAACATGTGACAGTCTCTGCTCTCAGCCCCACTGTGTCTTTCCTTTCAGCTCTCCAGTCAATCAAACATAAATGTGTTTTCAGAAATTTCAGGGTGAGAAGGTGAAGGCAGTCCAAAACTTTGGAAGACTTGGCTGCCATTGCCACAGGCCTGGAATAAACCTGACCATGCCCCATTAGATGATCAAGGGCAATGCCCAGGGGTAAAAGGAGTTTTACAAAAAGCCTAATTGCTTGTTGGATACTCTATTGAACACAGCTTCTTATTTCTGAACAATGTGTGAAGTTCATTCTGTGGCACATCAACTGTGCCCACATGGTTGGCTGATGCTATTGTTTTCACGTATTTCAACTCTCAGTTTTTATTGATAAAGTTGGTCTCTCTGGAGAGAAACCTGAATGACTAGGTTCTGTAGTTTTACCTGGAATTACAGTAGCTATAGAGTTAAGGGCTTGGATTTCAAATGTAAAATACAGAGATCAGAAGAACCTGAGACCCTTAACCTGTATGCTGTCATGATACAAAACCAGACTATCCTGAAGATGATATGGTAGCATAATCAGTCATTCAAGAATCTGAATACATACAGGGGTTTACGATAACAACCAGCTCTAGCCCCTGGACTGATAGACAGCCTGACTATCAGAAAGCTCCTTGATTTTCATACATGTAGATTCTGCTGAGGTGGGAGGAAGACAGGCCAGATGAAGAGAAAGAATAGATGAAGTCAGTGGGAAATGGCAGCTCTGAGCAAGTACATTTGAAGCAACACTCCTTACCACTTACCATTTATCTGAACCCTTCCAAAAAGTTTTTG